CAGCCCTCTAAACTGACTTTTCTGTGTTTCTCTCGAGACAGGGTTTCTCTGTGTAACAGCTCTGTAACTCACTTTGTAAATCAGATTGTCCTCGAACTCACAGAGATCTGCAAACCGCCTCCTGAGTGCTGAGATTAATGACATGCTCGCCACCTTCTCCCAGCTATCAGTCTTTAAGACAGTAATAACACACTCACAGAGAGGCTTTTGCTCCATGAATCCCTCACAGGAAACACTCCCAGTGATCCAGGCAGAAGCTCCACTCCTTCTTACAACCTAGCCTTGGAATTCCACAGCAACACTTGCCCTCACACTGCTGGAAGAGTCCCACACCCACCCAGATTCAAAGACAGAGACACCCATCCGTCGGGAGGAACAGCCCTGGAAGAAGAATATGGAAGAATATGGACAAATCGCAGCTGCCATCTTTGAAGTTACAAGTCACACAGGCTGAGCTCTGCAGAAGAAAAGCTGAAACTGGGAGTCATTTGTGAAGGGACGGGAGAGAGAGAGAAGGTGTGACCTGAAGAGACATCTCCCTGGCACAGGTCACCACTGGGAGCCCACTGAGGGACTCTGGCCAGCTCAAGCATAGAAGCACTGCTCTTGTAGTCCTTGCCCTTCTCCCCCATCCTCTGCCTTCTAAAAACTGTTAGATTACATTCCCAAAAGGGGCCACCAAGGTCTATTGCCTCATAAGGCCAATTTCTCCTCCTGAGGCTGACTCCCAAGGTCTAGCCATCAAAAGTCCCCTTTGGCTCACCTAATTGACATGCCCTTTTAAAGTTAAACACCTCATCCGAACAGAGGGATTCCCGTTTTACCTTGGTAAAATTTATTTATCTATAGGCCTCTTTTGTCCCTCATGTATCCAGAGGTAGTCTATTGTCCCCCCAATATAAAACCACTGCCCCTCTCCATTTTTCCTTCCCCTTTTCCGTTGTCACTTATCTCCTTAACACAGCATCCTTGCCCATTCTAACGCCGCCCCCCGTTCTCCTACTCTTAATTAAACCTGCAAAGACATTTGCTGTTGTTTTCCTGCCAGAGTCAGAAATCAGCCCCCCCCCCCTTTTTACATCCCTGCTTAAAAAAGAATCTCTCGGTGAAGCAGGTGTTTGTGTGTAGTTTGTACCCAATTGGGGATCTGGGAGGGGACCCCTGTTGTGCATGGGTCCCCTTTGACCACAGCATCTGGATCTCCAGAAGCAAAATATTGGTTCCTTTGGCTCAAATCAGCCACCTTCTACCTAGGGTGCTTCAGGTATCTCACAGAGAGTTAAGTCCAATTCCTTGAGTGCGTCTGTTATGCTTTCAAGGTTTTCTGTGCAGGCCTTCACCAACACTACGTGAAAAAGACACTGGGAAGACTGAGTGTGACCCAAGAGCCTCTACTCCAGTAGGAAACAGGCCATATTCATGAGGTCTCAACCAATGGGCAAAGACAAGTCCATTATGAGCAAGAGAGGTCAGTCATTAGGCTGTGAGATATTGAAGACAGGAGCTGAACTCACATGACCAATGTGATCAATTCATAGAGATGAAGGAGCTTTATGAGTTAGATCTTCACCACTGTGACAATATAAAGGGAAAAAATTCTTGTTCTGATTCAGAGTTTCAGAGGTCTGGTGTTGAGTATTTTCATATAACATCATGACAGCAGCATCCCTTATCAGAGGACATTCTTCAGGCAGACAGCATGCAGAGAAGAGAATTCCCAGCTTCTTGTCCTGGAGTCCATCTAGTTCTCAGCCAACAAAATAGTGCCATCCATATTCAGGGTGGCTCTTCCTTGACTTCCTTCACAGACATAGCAGTAGTGTCCCTCATTAGGTTCCTAGGTCATTCTAAATCCAGGCAAGATGACAAGGAGTAACTGTCATGGGAACCCAAGAAGAGGACATGTTTATAGGCTCTTGTCTGTGATCCTAGTCCTTGAGTGTTGTGGACGATTGCCACAACCCTGAGGGCTACACTGTGAACTTGAGGCCAGCTAACCTACGGAGGAAGACTCATGAAGAATGACCATTTTAATGTGTCACTGACTAAGAATATAAACGGTCCAGTACTCTCCTTAAGGATATTCCTACATTCTTAGTAAATGACCCTTTCAGATACTCATCTCATTTTCAGGTGTCTTGGATAAAGTGTAAGGGTTTTATAAGAAGAATTTGTTTTTTGAAAAGATTTTTAAGTATCTCTTTCCTCAGTTTTATGAACTACTGGAATATATGTGGATATTTACAGTTATTTCTTCAGATTGTGGGATTCATCAGTGAGTTTTTCCGGTTACACCACAAGAGAATATAATCCCATTGGTTCTTTCAGATTGTGTTGCGTAGTTTTACATTTCAACTTTTAAGTTTTCCATGGATTCTTATATCTTGTTATATAAGCCTGCATCGTTAGTAGGGAGCTCGGAAACATCGGAGCTACAGAGGGACAATGTTGCTAGGACAGATCCTCCATCCAGGAACAAGGACTCTAGCAATGATGGCCACGCAGTGGGAGCAATTTCATTCCTGTCAGTCAAAGCATGTCTCCTTGGAATTTGGTTTCTGAGGGAAAGGGAGGTCCTATACAGACAGGAAGCAGGTTTATTTAGTATGAAACCTGTGCTACAACTTAGAGGACAAAACCTGGAATTCAGGCTGCTTGAAGGGGTCATTCTTTCTCTGGTGAAATTGGATGGAATAGACTGTGTGATAGCATTGAGTCTGCTTTGACTTTGGCCAACATGGGTAGGGAGGGGATGGGGACCAATCAGCTCTGATAAGACCATGTTTATTGGCTACCATTCTGTTGTGATAAAAGTTTATAAACATGGCATCCTAAGAAATAGTGAACATATCTGTCTGTCTTAGTCTGGAGGGATTAGAGTCCATGGGGGTGGTCAGAGGCATGGAAGCTACTTAGAATTTTGAAGGCAAATGCAAGAGATTGAGATGTCACAAACTCAAACTCAAGCAAGAAATAGGAGAAGACATGAAGACTAGAGTCTAGGTAATTCTAACTCAGGCAACATGACAAGGACTAACTCATAAAATCTCAAGTTGAGGACATGTAGAGTCAGGTCTACAGGCTCTTGCCTGTGATTCTCTTCTATTGGAGCTGTCTCTCTTTGTTTTGGAGGGATAAAAGCCTTTTGGTGTGGGTCAGAGTCATGGACTCTAGCTGGATTCCTAAAAGCAAATACAGGAGATTGAGATGTGACCAACTGAAACTCAAGCAAGAAGTAGGAGAGAACATAAAGTCTATGCTGATTCATCAAAGGACAGTCCCATTAATGGAGTTTTGTCACTAAAGCTCCACCATATAAAAGTCCCAAACTGGACCATCAATTGACCTTGTGTGTCCATGTGTTCAAATGCCGCATTTTATGAGACATTTCTAATTCAAATTACCACAGTGGGATTGTTGAATGTATGTCAGACGTGCTGAGAACTTGGGTTCTAGTTTGGGAATTTGTGGAACACGTAGATGTGCGGTAGCTGGAGGAACCTAAGACTTAGAACTGTATTCCATGTAGTTCAATGTGAACAGCCACCTAATACCAGCTCTATTGGAAACAAGATGCTCCCCAACCATGGTTCAGCGTATCTTGAAAGCACAGACACACACACACACAAACCCTTCCTCTCTGGAGTTGATTTGGTGCCAGCCATAAGAAAAATACCTAGGGCACTGGTTGTGGTCCAGAACCTGGTCTAACCACTGTCAGTAATGAGAAGCCATGATTGGGCGACTCCTTGTGGTGACATCACAAGAAGGCATTATGAAGTATGCTAACAACTACTGTGTTTCAGGCACCGCCTGCATTGGGCTCCTGTCCTCGTATCTCAGAGTAGCTGTCAGTAGTCTACAGAACAAGTGTACTGATTATTGGCTGTAACAGACTATGAATCTCCAATCTACTGGACTCTGTTACAGTGAGTTCCTTTCCAGTTCATTGGTTTGGTTCCAGCATTAAGTTTTGCTATTTTGTGCTTACATTTATGCTATTAGTTAACATCCTAGGTTTGATTTGTGAATGTCTTATCTATTTCTCCATTATTACCCAACTTCCTATTTGAAATATTCACTTAGCCTTCATTTTTTTCTACTGTGGTTTCAATTTTCTTCAGATAGAACATGTGTTACTGTAAACTACCCATAGCAACTTCATTATAACATCCTATGCATGCCTAGGCAGCATGGTCAAAGTCTCCTACTTTATCGCTTGCTCCACTCCGTCTCTGTGACTAATACTCTTTCTTTGTTAAAGGCTCAGCCCTCCTCTTCCTCAAATCCACAGCAGAAGAAAACATCATATTTCTTTGTGTAGAATTTCTTTTTCTTAGGTGAGAGTTTCTCTACTTGCAGCTACTTCCACAGAGCAGAACAGTTCAGTGGCCACTGGGTCTGAGTATGGGCTCCTCCCCTGAATCTCAACAGATGCTGCTACACTCTTATTCAGTGTCTTTTTTTTTCAGTGTCTTTATATGAATTTTCCTCCAAAATATCCATGGATTTCTTGGGCTTTAAAGGCATCCTTAGGTTGTTTGGGATATCTTAGATCCCAAACAGAATTTGAAGACAGAGAATTCATACCTATAAACTTCCATCCTAAAACTATATCATTTTTCCCCCTAGTCTCGTGTGTTTCTAAGTTTCCAAGGAAACATAGAGAACGTAAGGTGAACATTATGGCCAGTCTCCTGGAAGAGGACATCCTTGAGAAGGATTTTAAAATCCTAACATCTCTAGGTTGTAGTTCATTTGTGGAGGTGATGCTGGCCAAACACCTTCCCACATATACACAGGTGGCTGTCAAGGCACTCCAAAAAGTATATAATACTGGCCTGGAGGGATGGCTCAGCCGTTAAAGGCTAGGCTCACAACCAAAAATGCAAAAAGCATATAATACTGTAGCAGACATCAGATCTGAAGTAACAATCCATAAATCTTTGAAATACTATAACATCATTCAGTTCTTCTATGTCATTAACACTCTGAACACCATGTATGTGGTTATGGAATACTTTGAAGGTAAATACCTGGAGAGGGTTATCAGGGAGGTGCACTCTTTAAAGGAGAAAGAGACTAGGCCAATATTCAGTCAGTTGGTATCTCCTGTGCACTTCCTGCACCAAAGAAGGATTGCACACTGCGACATTAAGTTAGAGAACATCCTGCTGGGTGAAGGTGGCAAAGTAAAGCTTTGCAATTTCGAGTTTGCCACTCAGATTATAGACAACCAGATGCTGCAGGATCTCTGGGGCTCCTTGCCATATTGGGCCCCAGAGATCCTAGCAAGAAAACCATACGATGGTTTGGCAGGGGACATGTGGAGCTTGGGCGTTGTTCTCTATGCCAAGGTAACCGGACATTTCCCCTATGAAGAATTCACCATTGAAGCTATGTACCACCATATCACCAACATCATGTGCCCCATTCCAAATCATCTTACTAAACCCTGTTATATCATCTTGGCAAGATTGCTCACGGTTTATGTCTGGTTCAGGCTTATGTCATCTCTGCTTGTCGAAAGACCATGGCTGGGCCATATTGAGGAACATATAACACCTCCTGACAAGGAAATCCTCCATAAGGTCTTGGAGGTGATGTGTAACACTGGCTATACCTGCAAACAGGTTGTATCATCCCTAAAACATCTACAGTCAAATAACTTAACAGCAACCATGAATATCATAAAATTCAAACTGAGCTCTGGGGATAGCAGTCTGCAAAATATTATCCCTGCAGTTGCTAGTAGCCTCCTTGACACCATGAAGAGGAGACATAGCGAGTCGGCTCTGCTGATCAGATACAGAAGCAATGCAAGGCTACACACATACAGCTGCCCAGAGGTGATGCACTACTCAGCTAACATGGTTCCAGAAAAATATTCAATGACCATCAACACCATCAACCCCGCTGCAGGGGACAATACATTCAGCATGATTTCAGTGGATAGCCTTTCTGATAAAAAAGTCTCAGAAGAAGATTTATTGACCACCAACACCATCAACCCCACTACAGGGGACAATGCATTCAATGTGAATTCAGTGGATACTCTGTCAAAAAAGTTTCAGAAGATTCATTGACCACTAAACCATCAACCCCAGTATAGGTGACAATGCATTCAAAGTGAATGCAGTGGATAGCCTCTATGATAATTTCTCTGCCCCCGAGCCACCTCTAAATGGGAAATGCATAGGGTTTGTGAACACGACCATCACTGAAGAGGAAACAATCCTTAGAGCCAGACATTCCCAAGGAGCAGCCCCAGGTTGTACCCACAGCCTCTGGAACCAGGCCACACTGGGTCTAGAAGCTGATAAAGAAGCAAATTTCCCATGCACTGAGAGCACTGTGCTGCTGCTGCCTGCCCACACCACGTGGGTAAACGGAAGTGGCCTAGGAGAATTCCAGTCCTGGTAAGGAGTGCCTGCTGCAGGAGGAAGCCAGGACAGAAGCTCAGATTGCTGTGGCCCTGTAACCCAGGGCAACAGGCCCCTGCATCCATACTCTAGCTACAGTTTCTGAGCTGCCAGTCCATTTCTCCTTTAGCTTACTGCTGCCCAGGCTCTGCTTGCCAGATCCAGAGCTGGCCAGAAGGCACATCTGCCCAGTGAACCTCTATCTCCCCATCTTTGGTTGTGCTTTTAGGACCAGTACCACAGTGTTTAAAACACCTACCTCTACAACCAGCAATGACTTAGATGCCCACCTCATGCTGATCATCATCTTGGCCACTTCATTTTCTCCAACTTATTTGGGACCGTCTCTCAGACAGAACTGCAAGAATGCTCTTAATTCATCCAGGGCATCTGTGTTCCTGGCAATCTCAATCCAACCCCCTTGCATCATTTTGCCCACGTCACAAAAGTATTCACAAATTTGACGATATTTCACATTGTCCTGCTCTTGTGTGGCAAGGGCACCTTCCATATAGGGTGCAACTATCTAATCATAGATGTCTCCCTACGTGAAAGGAAATCCAGGTGCCCATTCTGTGTTCCCACTGGATCTGATAAGATCCTATTTACAATGTGTGGGGAATATGCATCCATTTAGATTTGTCTGCAAAAGAACAATGTCTGAACAGCACTCACCACACATCCACATAAGAATGCAATCATTTCTTCCAAGCATTGGAAAGAGTTCCATGCCCTTGGATCTCATTGAGAGGAAACAAAGTGTGCAGATTTGAAGTTTATGCTTCAGTATGAACTCCCAATGCTCCACTAGTTCTGATTTAGGTGTTTTGTCTTTTTTAAAATTTGGTTACTTGTTATTTGTTAGTTTTTATATATCTCTAAGAAGAATGTTTTGATTGGCATACCTTAGAAACACTCAAGTAAGTTAAATTTAAATAGAGAAAGTAGTACATATATGATTTCCCCCTCTCTTGTTAATGTTTCATTTTAATTTTAGATACTAATTTGTAAGTATAAAAGCCTTATATGGACAATAAAATTTAATGAATAGTCAAGAAAGAGAGAAACTTCTGATTCAGACTTGCAGGAGAAACTTCAGCCAGCCTACCCAAGACTCAGCTAGCATGTGAGGCAGGAACTTCCTTCCTGAGCCAACCTAAGCATGCTGCTATACCCAGAGACAGCTGACAAAGAGAAACCTGACCAGAGATGCTAATGAAGGAAGGACAACACAGCAGAGTTTGTCACCTGAGTCAGTGGGACCTTGAGATATGATATGAGAGGCCTGCCCATTCCCTCAATAAAGGAGTTGGCCTTTAGTAATCACCTGACTTCAAGATTCTGTGTGTTTGACTCCAGACCTTCTTGTCGCTTCCACAGGTGGTATCCCTACTGGGTCACCTCCAACACAGGCTGATCTTGGCTTAATTTTCCTTCAAATCTCTCTCCCCCCCTCCTCCATTTCCTCTTTATATTTTCTTTTGTGGCCTCTCAGGAGCTCACCATTTTATCTCCTAAGAAAAAGAAAAAAAAAATGGCAGCAGCCATTCCTGAGGTCAGCTGAAGATGGAATAAAAGGCAATCCAGATTAATCAAACCATTAGGGAATCAAACATGAAATGACATCTTTGTTCAACCATGGCCTAAATTTTAGTCTCTACTTCTGAGGCTCCTGGGGGCAGCAGAATAATGTAGTCTTCATCTTCAGGGAGCAGAATGGATGGAGACCACAAAACTGCCGATCCTGGACTCTGTGAAAAAGGTTCGCCTGCTTTTGAGGCTTTATCTACAGCTAACAGTGTCTCCAGTGTCTACATCATACCCACCATTAAGAATATCTGGGGGACTAGAGAGATGGCTCAGCGGTTAAGAGCACTGGCAGTTCTTCCAGAGGACCTGGGTTCCCAGCACCCACATGGCAGCTTACAAATGCTGGTAACTCTACCTCCATGGGATCTGATACCCTCACAAAATACCAATGCACAGAAAATAAAAATAAATAAATCATTGGGAGTGGGAGGGGAATGGAAAGAGGGGAGGAAGTGTAAATTTTTTGAATGGAAAAATAAATTTAAAAAAGGGAAAAATATTTGGAATGCAAGTACAAGAATCCCGACTTTACTGGTTGAAATGAATGGGGTGTGGAGGGATTGCTTTTCTTATATAACAAAATTCTAAAGGAAACACCTGATGGTCCTGATTTGCAACTCAAAATTTTGGCCTTTTCTTTATAGTTTGCAAGATGGCTACTTCAATAACAGGTACCATCACCACCTTCCATCGGAAGGAAGCAGGAAGGTGGTTTTGTGAAAACTTAGGGACCCACGTCCAAGTCCTCAACACAAATGTAGTGTCAGAATCATTGATTTGCGCATCTGTGATGCCAGCACTCCTACAGCAAGATGGGAGGTAGAAACAGGACAGTCACAGGAGCTCACAGACCACTAGCCTGTATATACAGTGGCCATGAAACCCTGTCTCAAACAGATGGAGGACAAGGACCAACACTTAAAGAGGTCCTCTGACTTCCACATGTGTGATGTGGCACACATAGCTCTGTCTGTATTCACATATATTCAACACACGCACTTTCTCTCTCTATATGCCTCTCTCTGTGTCTCTGTCTTTGTTTTTCTTTCATACATGTGCAGACACACACAGACACACAAACATACACAAACACACACACACACACATAAGTAGAGAGGGGGAAGAGGAAACATGTAATCAGGAAACTTCATGCCTGCCAATGTGAGCTTGTTTTGCTTCTCGTCTCCATGTGCAATGTGACTAAGGGGAAGGTGTGAGAATGTGGTTTACCAGTTCAACCCACAGTAGCTGCATCATCTCCAATACCCACCTGTGAACAAGGTGTGGACATGTTTTTTTCAGAGCTAATGCTCTCATCCCAGAAATATCTAAACCACTACCCTCTCAATTTCAGTTTTCCCAGGCAATTAACTATTCACATTTGGCCCTTGTACTTATTAGCATTCTCCAGAGTAAGAGATGTGCATGGGAGGAGATACTTATCATTTTTGCTATTAATATTTGATATAATATTTTAATTCATATCAGTATTTTACTATTGTGTGTATGTAAGTTCTGGAGATCAAACCCAGGACATCAGGCTTGATGATAGGCATTGTTACCAGGAGATTTCATCTCACTGGCCCTGAATACTTCTTGGACTGGTTAAAGGTTAACAAAATGTCTGGCATAGTCCAGCACTGGCAACAGACATGCCCAGTCTGGAAGCTGAATACCTCAGCAGTTCCAGTCTGCTGCTGGATACATGGAATCTCCCTCGCACTGAGTTCACACTGAAGGAAAAAGGAGTTGGCATGATGTCCTTGGAGGATTGCTACAACACTGGAAAAATTCCTCAAAGAAGGGGCCTCCACACTCAAGTCTTCCTCTTCCCCTTATCTCCTCTCTGGTCTCCCAGCCCTTTGGATGGTACCATTAACAATCAGAATGTGTCAACTCCAGTCACTGTACTACCTGCCAACCCTCTGGAAATCCCCCTACAAATGCACAAGTGTGTGCTACCCATCCTAGAGACTCATCCAGCCATGTTGAGAACCAATACTTCACAGTTCTGCCTGTTAGCTTGAGAAATGATTACCCACAAAATTATGGAGACAGTCATTACCCCAGGAAAGATCCATCCACAGGACTGGACACATGACCTGCAGTCCTAGTAATCTGAAGACCTGGTCCTGGTGCTGATCCCCCAGAAAGTCAGGTGGTCTGGGCAGTCCAGTCAGCATCCCTCCACAAGGCTTCCGGCACAGAGAAAGAGACAGATCTCCCCATTTTCAGCAGTAGATGCAGAAGCAGGATCTTCTGGTAGAGAAACTGAATCCTTAGAAGGGAAAATTGAGGGTGGGATGTTAAAGAATTGCCTGCAGTAGACAGCAGCCTATGACAGACCAAAGACAGGGTCCACCCAGGCCAGAGTGGTTAAGCAGGAGATTCCTGGGGTTTTTTATGGGAGAGAGGAGGATGCATAGGCAGCTACAGGAGGTTTCGCTGAGTGTCATGCAGGCAGTTACACCACTGAAGATGCCCCAATCTGAAACCCCAGCAGCTGTTTGTCATTTATATGACCTCAGAGAAGGAGGGCTGTGTGGGTCCCTCCTCTCTGCTGAAGAGAAAGTGAAAAATGCATGGTCTTGTGAGGATTTTCTTTTTCGAACAGAACAACTTCTGTGTCTCCAGATGGCAGCATTCATGTCCAAGACAGAGAAAATAACCACGCTACCAAAGCTCCCATCTTAAAGGCTCGAGAAACTAAGATAATCATGGAGAAAGCAGAAAGGGCAACCTTGAATCTGATTGTGAATGGATCCTTGCAGGCCCAGAGATCTCACTTTTGACCAGTTCCTATTACATTTCTTCCCACTGTGGATCAGAGTCATGATTGTGTCAGAATTTGTACAAACACTCTGAATGTAAGTGCCACTGATGTGGGAATGAGGGGACAGGTTGTCACAGGACAGCAGGGGATGCAGGATGCATTTATGGTTCTCAGTGCAGTTGGTGCAGGGTCAGTGGTGTTACAGCATGCAACTGCAGCCTTGGTTATGCTTTGGGAATTGCCCTGCCTTTCCCCAAGGTTGTTAAGGATCCCTGGGATAGCCTGCTCATGCCGGATGCTC